GGGAGGGAGAGACTATAGCTGGGGAAACCATTGCACTTGAGCCGCAGGATCACCACATACTGGTACCAGCTCAAACTATGCAGCTGAAGGGGTAGTTCTTCAGCTGGTAATCTGAGTATCAGTCAGCTGTGAGCTGTTTTAGGGTCCTCAGGCATTTTTCATAGTCCTTAGACTGATTTTGTTTCCTAATTGCTTTGCATAGGGGAGTTACCTAAAAGCAGCCAACCTGCTGCTCCCCAAGCTGATCTGTGAGCCAGAGTCAGAGCTCCTGAAGGTTTCAGTCCTGTGCATTGTCACTCCCCAGCATCCCTGCCACAGAGAGCAACAAGAACAAAGGCTGCTGTCTCCACCTGGTTCAGTTCCCCATTCCCTCCTCTCGCAGCCGAGCTGTCCCAGCAGCTGATGCACCTCTGCCAGGTTGCTCTGCGATCGCAGCCTGCCAGCAGATGGAGCTGGTTCCTKCGTGTCCCTCCTCCGGATCCCAAMCGCAGCAGGTTCTGGGGAAGGGAGSCTGCCTGYCTGYTCCTGCAGCTCTGCSCCGTGCAGCTCCCTGCGATGTCARACCCACTGCYGTGGCAGCCCRTGGGTCCTGGTGCTCAGGCTTTGCGAGTGAAAGGCCTTGATGGGACCYTGAGCAACCTGGTTTAGTGCAAGGTGTCCCTGCCCATGGCAGATGATCTTTAAGGTCCATTCTGTGATGTGACCTGCAAGTCCTGTCTCAGCAGGCAGAGCTCCAGRACTATGACTGGCAGCTAAGTGGTACTCCAGTAACAACCTCATAGAAGTGCATCATTCAGCCAGTAGTGAGGAGGTCAAGGGGGAGCCATAGCTGGCCCATGGCTTTTCTGTGATCTGTTTAAATTCATAACCTGCTTATAGCTGGTGTTGGCCAGTTTCCTGTGACAATCTGGTGCACTCGTTTTCTCCCATCAGTTTCTCTTTCTTGGAGGAAGATTGAACCCAAGGGCAAAGGGCCATGTCCTCGCCGCCGGCAGTGCTGCTGCAGAGTGGGGGACAAAATCATCCTTTTTGGAGGCACCAGGTGAGTTGTGTGAAGTGGCTCTGCAAGAGGCTTTGTTGCTCTTTTCAGCACATTGTCCCTTCACGCTCTGACCCACTGCTCTATCAGATGGACTTCAGAGRCACATGGCAAATGTCAGTCTACCTGACAAGTGTAAGTAATCATGTACATCAGGGCTCYTCTGGAAAAAGGCCGTGGAAGGGACTGGAGGTGTCATGTAAGCTTGTAAAGCATCCKGTGACAAACCATCTTGTACATGCAGAGACAAGAGGGTGTGACAGGCTGTTCACGAGGAGTTGTGCAGTGCTCAAGCTTTCTGTGGAAGAGGTGATGGGGATAAGGGAGGAGATCCTGCTGTCAGAAGGACACATATCAGCCTGCTGTGCTAGAGCAGACCTCAGGCTGACTTATCTTCGCCTACATGCTGCCCTGCTTCTCCCACCAGAGCTGCTTTCTTCTGTTGGCAAGTGTGGGTTCTGCTGCCAAGCTGCAGTGGGATGTCAGCTCAGCTGGGAGCTGGTTGAGGAGCCTACACACATGACAAGACAACGTTGCCTTCTGTGCCAGTGTTCCTTAGCAACATTTCCATTCACAACAGGGACCTGGTGTTATGGATTTAGCTGTCAAACACTGGAAGTGATACTGTCAGGGTGCAGGGCAGCTGGATGTGGCCAAGAGCCTTAGCAGCTGCTAAAAGAAAGGAAGTGGCCTATCACCAGGACACACTCTATATTGTTTGGAATGACAAATTGSAGCTCTGGAGCACAGTCCTGCTTGCCAGTACCTTGCAGAGGCGTCTTAAATTGTTTCAGCTTCCACATGTTTTGGAAAGCTTTGGGGCTTTCTCTGGGATCCTGGCAGCAATTTTTTTGAGGATGCTTCTGAAGCCAGGCTGGGGCAGAGGACCAAGCAGGACAGGTTCTGCTAATGGCCTGACSATACCAGTGTGTAATGGGGTGAAGGGTCTTCAGGTTCCAGGGGTTCTGGGGGGATGTAGAATGTTGTAGCTTAGTTGTAGGATGTCAGTGTGACTGTGAGGCAGTGCTTAGTGCAGGTGAGGTATGCAGAAGTGCTTAGTTTATCCAGTCTCCTCAAGTCATACTGGCTGCTGCTCAGTATAGCTTGGTAGGGTTTTATGGGAGCTTTGAGTGGTCCCAGATGCTGTGCTGTGTGTAGATCCGTGTTACATCAGCAGCTGAACTCCAGTGTTAAGCATTGACCACTCCTAGGAAATTTTATCAAACCATAACAAATTTGACAGCAGCTTTATGGAGTTTGGTCCACCCTTGCCAGGCAATAATGCAGCAGTGCCTTGCCTTCTCCACTGAACCACTTAAGAATTCAGTTTGTTTCTTAAGTCRGGCTCAACCCCAATACAGGCACCTTCATCAGCAGTAGTGTGGGCTAGGAAGAGCTGCTGGCAGCCAGGAATGCAGCCTGGAGGGAGGGAGGGTCTTGCAGGCTGGGGAAATGGGAGGTGGGGGTGGGCCCGTGCTGGCTTCCTGTAACAGTTATCAGGTGTAYTCTGGAGCTGCCTGGCGAGATAAGAAGTTTTCCAGGAAGTCGTTGTAATGGAGAACTCCCAGCGGTCTGCCTCCTGACCTGTGCTCCCTGGCTGGGGAGGGGGAGGGGTCGCRCAGCACGGGCCATCCAGCCGGGATTCGCAGAGGATGAGCCGGATAGGCTCAGCTTTCTAAGGAATGGCACTGGGGGATGGGCAGGCAAACCCCCTTTGTGTGCTGCCTGCCCTTCCAGGATTCACACATCCTGTGGCTGCTGAAGAGGCTCTTCTACAGGCTGCTTGCTCCTGTGGCAGCCAAAAGCTTTGTTTATTTGGCAGTCCTGCCCAGAGCCTGGTCTTTTTGCCCCGCTATGGTCCCTCAGTGTGGCCAGGAGTAATCCATCACTTGTGTCCCGTTTAAGGGACCCCATTGCCATGTCACAGTTGTGGCCCTAGTGTGTTTTCCTCCCAAACCCACCAGCACTKCAGCATGCAGAAACCATCCACGTGGAAGAAGGAGGGGGAGAAGGAATGCCATAAAACAGAGTTTAGCTGAAGAGATTCTGATACAGATTTGGCTTGAGACTGTGTTTTCCCTGATGAGGCTTAGAAATGCTTGGCTCTGGTGAGGGAATAGGGGCTGTCACTGAGTGCAGGCTGAGTTGTTTTGCAGCTGGAATAAACAGTTCTGCTGGGCTCTGGCCGGCAAAGGCAAATCCTGCACCCTCCTGCCTGGGAGTTGCAGGGGGTTGCCTGGTCTTGAACTCCAGGCTTACCCTGATACTTGCCTTTTGGTGATTAAAACCACAGACATGGTGCCTCCTGGCTTTCCTTTGATAGATAAGGGATGGTCTTGGGTTTCCTGTGACGTGGATGTGAGATTAGATTGTGGTGGGGTAAGCACACGAGGCGGAATTAAAGGGGCTCTTGCCTGTATCCGGACAGATGGGTCCCATCAGCAACAGGTCTCTGCCAGCAGTGAGCTSTGGGGACCTGGGAGGGCAGGTACTGCCTCATGTCCCATGAGTGCAAAGCTTGGTGGCTCAAAGGTGGGGAGACAAGTGACACTGGGGCAAGTCACTGGTGTATAATTGTTTTGGCACTGACTGACACACTGTRCTTGGTTTCTGCAGCCCATCTCCAGAGGAGGGAATGGGTGATGAATTCGACCTCATGGATCACTCAGATCTCTACATCCTCGACTTCAGTACGTGAGCCCTTCCTGTCCAGCCTGTACCTCTTGCCACAAGGTGCCCTGTRGGCAGGCCCTGCTGGGCCCTACTTTGTCCCAGAGCCAGACAGATGTGTCTGACCAGTGTCCTTGGCTTAGGGCAGAGCAGCCAGCAGTGCAGCCGTGCTTTGTGCACTCCTACATGCARACCTGTTGTGGGAGCACAGAAAGCACCCCAGCCTGTCCCTGGTGTGCATTCTGCCTTGTCCCTCAGAGGGGTGGCTGGGGTGCTGTGCCATGTTTCCTGTGGCACTGATTGCATGATGTGGAGTCTCCATGATGTTCATGCTGTGGATATACTGCCTTCTTTCCACAGGCCCCAGTCTGAAGACGCTGTGTAAGCTCGCAGTGATTCAGTACAGCCTGGACCAGTCCTGCCTTCCCCACGACATCAGGTATGGTGTGCCTTGCTGAGAGGTCACTCTGTGGGTGCTCCCTGTGCTCAAGGTGCTCCAGCCCCTGGGTGCTGCCCAGACCCTTGGTACTGGGCTCTGTTTGTGCTTCCTCTCAGTGCATCCTCTTGGTGTGTTACAGATGGGAGCTCTCAGCCATGACAACGAACAGCACCATCAGCCGCCCCATTGTCTCCAACCAGGGCTGAAGACAGCTCGTCCTTCTACCACCCTGCCCTCGCCCCTCCACATACTGACCTCTTGCTCCACTGCCTGCATGAATTTTTTGCCCTTTCAAGCAAGGAATGTGTGAGCTCGGTTTGTCTTGCCCTAACTAGGCTCCCTCTGCCCTTGTCACGCTGTGGGCAGCACRAGTGGACAGGCAGAGCTGGCCACTGGGGTAAAAGCTGGCTGGCCCCAGCAGCACAGCTGTGATCCCTCTCCTTGCTGGTGGTTCTAGAGCTTCCTTCCCTTTGCCTGTGGAACTGCAGCTGTGCTGTCCGGTCCCCGGCCACTTTCCAAGGGCCTGAATCAACTCTTACCACCAGCCACGGCCCTGGGGTTGATGTCAGGGTCAACCTGAACTGTTCCTGCATTGCCTCAAGAGAGCAGGAACCTCTACACCTGCTTTTCTGCCAGCACTGACAGCTTCCTGGCACTCCATGGCAGGCCCCAACTCCAAGCTGAGCCCAGTGTGGGGGCCTGGGCCCARCTGGACTCTCTGCCCAGATCCCATTGTAAAACAGCAACTGGGGGGAGTTTTATAAATGGTGAGGCAGACGTGGTTTCTGTGTGTCCTAGCAGATAAACTGGGGGAGAAAAGGTGTGGGAGGGGAGAAACAGAACCAGGTGYTTTTCCCTGAAGCTGCAGGCCACTAGTAGCCCATGTGGCAGCAGCAGGCATTGGCTGATGTGAGCCACAGCCCTGCCTGGGGTGGGAAGGGAAGCTGGGCACCCCCAGCAGCATTGCCCTGGGGTACCTGCCTCCTGCCCRGAGCTGTGCTGTCCTGCAGGAGGACAGAAGGAAAATGGTGTGTGCCTCCTGGGCTGTGCTGCCTCAGGTAGGTGGATGTTCTGTAGCTTCCTGCTTCATGGCTGGAGCTGGAGGGATGCCTGGGACCTCCTTCCTGGGTGACACAGAGGGCTGTGCTCAGGCCTCTTCCCATGGGCAGGAGGTGTCTGATGTGGAGAGGAGCTCCAGCTGYAGTGGGGCCAGTGTGGAGAAAGCTGGGAAGCACTTGGGGTGTTTCCTGGGATCTAAAGTCACACGGGGAGCCGAGATGGTGGCTGCRTGCCAGGAATGGGTGGCAGAGGGCCCAGGCTGTCTCCCCTGCCCTGAGGGCTGGCACATAGCCAGGGTCAAGTGCTCATCCAGCAGCACAGTGCTGCAGAGGTGCCTGGGCTCCTCAGCCTGCTGGAAGTGGCCAATGCAAGCACAGCAGAGTGGTCTGGAGTGGCGTGAAAGCAKTGAAAACCCCGTGGCAAGAGAAAGAAGGCACCACAATTGCGACAAGAGCTTGTTCTTCACACGCTGGCAGCCCCTCAMCGTGATGGGTGATGAGCATCAATGGCCTGGAGGGAAACAGGGTGTGCTGGCACAGCACATGTGGCTGAGGGACAGCAGCCCCAGGCTGGGCTCATTCTTTGTGTGCTCCTTGGCACCTGCAGGTTCCCACAAGGGCTGAACATCTACCCTGKGTTGTCCAGCAGCTCTGATTGCCCTCAGTCAGGTGCCTCAGCCACAGACTCTCTCTCAAGCTGTGAAATAAATGGTGGAGTTTTTTTGCCGTGCACTGAAGCACCAAGCTTACTCTCCTTGCAGGATGCAGGTGCTAGGAAACATCCCCTGAGCACCCAGAGTCCCTGGGCTGGGCCGTGTGGTGCTGAGCACGGAGGCTCCCCAGTTCTCCCAGTTGTGTCTGTGAGTGGCTGTCACTGGAGAGAATCACAATCTCTGGGGCATCGAGTGGAGACAACAGGGCCCAGAAAAGCTCAGCACCCCATGCCAGCTGCCTCCAGGAGAGCAAATCTTTGGTGGGGAGAATTCTTTTCTGGGAAGAAAAGAAGGGGCTCATCAGGGAAAGGGGTCACTGACACCCCACTGCTCTTCAAGGGTTCTCTTAGTTCAGGAGTGCTGTGGCCCTGACCTGCCTCTGCCAGGACCCTGCTGCAGGSATGGCCATGTGACACTGCTCACCACCTTGGTCCAGGTGTCTCCAGTGCATTTCTTGGCTTATCAGCTCCTTCTCCCAGCACCCAGCTCAATCAGTGATGCTGGAGAGCAGCTCCCAGGCAGGCAGACTAGACACAGGATGTTGTGCTGGGCTGGCAGGAGCTGGGCAGATGTGTGCCCCGCGGGGGGATCCCTGCTGCCTCTGTCACTGCCCCCTCCTGAGCGGCAGGTTTGCTTTAAAGACCCTGGCTTCCTTTTATTACTTCCCCTCTCAAATTGCAGCTGGCTGCGAGGGCTATTTTTAGCAGCCTGCCTTCTAAAAATAGCCCTGAGCTGTTTGGAGTTGCGTCACAAGAGGTAACTCTCTCCCTGAGTGGCTTGGCCTCTGCACCCCAGGAGGGTACAAAAGGAGGCCAAGAGCAGCAGGGTCAGCAGGTTCAGCCACAGCCAGAGGCGACGGAGACAGCGGTTCCCCGCCAGCTCCAGGCCATCCCAGCCCCGGCAGCATGACCATCTTCTGCAGCCACTGCCACCGGCCCCTGCAGGCAGACACCAGCTGCCTGCCCACCAGGGCCAAGCAGGCACCCAGTGCCTCGAGGCCGTTCAGGTGAGCTCCCTCCTGCCTTCCCTCAGGGCTGGGATGGCCTTGCAGAACCCGGGACAGCTGCTCTAGGGTTTGAGGGCCCTTGCAAGGTACTGACACCAGCCTGGGACAGCAGAACTGCTGGCTGGTGCGTGGGGAGGAGGTGCAGGAATTTGGAAGGGCAGAGGTATTTGAGGTGGTTTAGGAGGAAAGGCATWTTGGCTGGGCTGGGGTGCACATTCTGGCACTGGGTGCAGGTTCCATCCCTGTGGGGTTTGTGGGGAGGTTGTGTCACGTGGGCTCCCCACCAAAGCACGGGTCACTGTCCAGCCTGGTGCCATGCAGGAGAGRTACCAGCCATACCAGCAGCGTTCCCCTGGGTAGGCTTGAGCACCTCTGCCTGTGCCCATGAGGTTTGCTCTCCTAGAGGCAGCAGCTAGTGCGGGTGCTGAGCATCTCCRTATCCCCAAGCTCGCAATGCTTCCCATGGTGACAGGCAGGAAATGCTGTCCCTCTCCCTCCCTGGACACGTGTCCCAGATGGGTGGCTTTGCAGGTCAACCAAGAGTGCCTCCAAGGCTCGCCGAGACCAGATCAACGCGGAGCTGCAGGCGCTGCGCTCCCTGCTGCCCATCTCCGCGCAGGAGAAGGAGCGGCTCTCCTACCTGCACACCATGGCCCTGGTGTGCCTCCGCCTGCGGGGGGCTCAGCTCTTCCCTCCAGGTACAGCAGCACGGCTGTACTCCACACCGGCCTGGCTCCGTGTGGGGTGCTGCTCCTGCCCCTTCCAGCACAGCACTTCATCCTGATCCCCCCGCAGGCTTGGCTCCTCCTGCGGGACCGGCCCTGGGCACAGAACTACTGTCCCTGCTCCCGGGGTTTCTGCTCGTGCTCTCAGCCGACGGCAAGCTGATCTACATCTCAGAGAACGTGACTCAGGTCCTGGGGCTCTCTGTGGTAAAGCCAGCGCACTGTCCCCATACCCATCCTGGTGCCATTACTGCATGCACAGCACACACACTGCCCCAGCAGATGCTGAGCTGTGACTCCAGCAGGCTGTGCACCCACAGTGCCCATTGAGACAGGCACAGTCTCTGAGGGCAGCTCCCTTTGCCAGGTGGAGCTGCTGGCACAGGGGGACACGGTCTTTGACATCCTGGATGGGCAAGKGGGTGAGGATGTGCACAAGAAGCTTCTCCTTGCCCAGGAGGAGCCTGGCAGGGGTAAGGGAGGCCTCAGCTGGCATCTCACACATCTTTCCACCCTGCTTTRGCCCTTGGCTGTGCTTGGAGAGCCGGGGCCAGCCCTGCAGGGAGCAGAGCCCCTGAGCCACTCTCTATGGTTTGTTTCCCCGCAGAAGTCACTTTTGTCAGCGAGATGCGCACGTCCAAGGCCTTCCGGCTGCAGCACGGGGGCAATCGGGTGGTGGCAGTGTGCGGGCGCTTCGTGGCCCTGCGCTGGCCACCGTCCCCCTCCTCCACAGCCTTCCTGGCCCTCTGCACGCCTGTCGCACAGTCACCCGCAGACGGCGAAGCTGCTTCCCAGGATGACATATTCCAGAGCATGCACCTCCTGGACATGACGTTTATCGATGTCACGGAGAGGTGAGGGGTGTTTGCTTGTGCCACAGCCCCACAGCTCTACACCTCAGGCAGCAAGGACAATTTCCCTTCACCTTCAAGTCTGTGTAGGGGATGCAGGCTCGATGCTGCATGACCACTGAGACTCTCACAAACACTTCCAAAACCTCTTCTCTGATTTACAACTTATTTCTGTCCCTCTGTTGTCTCATTCTCCATCATGCCGCAGTCTTTTCTTTCTGGCACGGTGCAGGCTCTGTACTACAGCACTCAGTCCCCTCTCCCCTTGTGTTCCCAGTGTCGCCTACCACCTCGGCTACCACMGGGAGGAGCTGGTCGGTCAGTCGTGGTACAGCCTCCTGCACCCTGAGGATGCTGAGCTGGCAGCTGCCCAGCACAGGGCCGTGGGTGAGTGTCRGGCCCGGGAATGTGCCGTGCTGTGCCCTGGCTCCATGGTCTGGTTATACCTGAAACGCTGCGGCTATCCAGGGCTGCAGCGACACAGCGAATTCAGTCCTCCCTGCTCCAAAAAGGTTGAGGCAGGGAAGTGGTTACACACCCCATACATTGTCTAGAAGATCATAGGTAGTTTCCAAGCTCGGGATAGGCACAGTGCACAGAGGAGGGACAAGCCCCTCGAGCCCCAGCTCTTGCAGGGGCAGAACTGCTACAATTTGACTTTGCTCTGTGTGGTTTCTGTCCCGCTGGGACCAGACGAGTGAGCAAATGCAGAGCTCATCGGGGCAGCCTGCGGCCGTGCCCTGCTGCCGGCTCACGCTGTCCCTTCCCTCGCCCGCAGCGCTGGGSGCCGGGGCCGGGCCCGCAGCGGGGACCGCTGTACTTCGAGTGCTTCGCAAGGACCGTGCCTGGAGCTGGCTGCGCGTCTGGGCGCGGCGGGACGGCGGCTGCATCACCTGTACCTGCCGCTGCCTCAGGTGAGCGGGGAATCGGGCTGGGGCTGCATCACCTGTACCTGCCGCTGCCTCAGGTGAGCGGGGAACCGGGCTGGGGCTGCATCACCTGTACCTGCCGCTGCCTCAGGTGAGCGGGGAACCGGGCTGGGGCTGCCTCAGGTGAGCGGGGAATCGGGCTGGGGCTGCATCACCTGCCGCTGCCTCAGGTGAGCGGGGAATCGGGCTGGGGCTGCCTCAGGTGAGCGGGGAATCGGGCTGGGGCTGCCTCAGGTGAGCGGGGAATCGGGCTGGGGATGCCTCAGGTGAGCGGGGAATCGGGCTGGGGCTGCATCACCTGTACCTGCCGCTGCCTCAGGTGAGGGGGGGAATCGGGCTGGGGCTGCATCACCTGCACCTCCGCCGCTCAGGTGAGCGGGGTCCCCGGGCTGTCCCTTACCCCGTGTCCGCCGCAGGGAGGAGGAGGCGGCCCACCTGCGCTCCCGGCAGCCCCTTGCCGCCGCCCCGCCCGCGGACCGGGATCTCGGCCGGCTGGCAGCGCAGCTCCGCGCCCTCGCCGACAGCCTCTCGCCACCCGCCGCCGCCCCGCCCGCGCTCCGCCGCTGGCCCCGKCCCGAGGAAGCCGAGGACGATGCCTTTGTGTGCCTTGGGAACTCTCTGCTGGACTCTCCCCAGTTCCTCCGGTTTCCTTTTGAACAGAAAATAGGATGCAACATTCCAAATGTGCTCCCACAGGTGTCAAGTCCACAGGGATGCTGACATCCCTTGGTCTGCTGGCCGTGYCTTTCCTAACGCGGGCACTGTGTGTAACCACATCTCCTTTCAGCCTGCTGGTCACTTCTAACAGCAGCAGCTGACCCAATGGGGGCAATGGCAAACCCTCATTTCATACACTTAGTGCTCGTATTAGAAACTTTGTCTAAGCTGTGATAAACCCAGCATCAGGACGACTCAGCGTAGCCGTGCAGAGGGATCCAGATCTTGCACTTAAAACACTCATTGACTACTTAGGTGTATATCGCCAGGGTCTTTGTGTACGTCACACATCACACATTCCTCAGAAAGGAACGATTTAAAAAAAAAAAAAAAAAAAAAAAAAAAAAAAAAAAAAAAGATAATAAACGCCGCTCCCCCACGTGACGCCTCTGCCTGCGTGTGCTCCGCTTCCGCTTCCGCCGGCGCCGCGCGGGTTCCGGGGGCGATGGGGCCGGGACGGGACCGGGACCGGGACCGGGGCCGGGGATGGGGCCGAACCGCCGCTCCCACGGACAGCGAGGAGGAGGCGGCCGCGGAGCAGCCGCTCGGGAGGCTGGAGCCGGCGGAGGAGAGCTCTGGCTYCAGCGACAGCAGCGACGATGACGGGAGCGTGGCGGGGGCAGGCGGGAAAGGTGAGGGGGCCCGGCGGGAACAGCTCCGGGACGGGCTGTTCTGTGGGGAAACGAGTTGCCAAATGGTTCAGGGGCTGCAGAGGTGGTTCTCATCCACAGCAGTGAGCACTGYTGTCCTCATCTTAGAATAATCCAAGTGAGAATGAAAACCTTCCGAAAAATACAGCAGAATCCCTTGAAGGGARTTGTGAGGGAGTGGTGTCAAATGCAGGGCACAACGCAGCGTGTCACAGGTGTGAGGAGTCACTGTTTTTGCCTTGGGAAGGGGTCTCCAGGGTGCATCTCTGGGGGAGGCACATTTCTAGGGGTGARCATTTGGGATTCAGGGGTGGGCAGCGTGCCCAACCATCTGTTGGAGACATTTTGYTTTCCTCTGGTGAGGAAATGCTGAGCAAAGCTCAGGGAGAGGAGCACCGACAGGCACCCTTTCCTTCCCACAGCTGGATGGGAATGGGAATAGYAGTTCTGCTTTGCCATCTGTCAGGGCCCTGTGTGATTTTGTTTCTGGAGCAGAAGGAGTTATGTCAGAGTCCAGCACTGATTTTGTCTCAGCAGGGAATGACTGGGCAGGTATCAGGTATTTCTTTAGGCCATCTGTTCTTGCATCCTGGGCACTGTGATGTGCTCRGCAGGTTGTGTAGCTCCCTACAGGTTCAGCTGAGGAAGGCATAAGGTGTCCATGTGGYACAGGAGTCTGTGGGAGGAGAGGAAACACGAGGAGGCTGTGCCTGTGAGCAGGAAATGCCCCTGTTATCAGCGTATCAGCGTGCAAAAAGGAGGAAACCATCCACAAAATAGTGGATGAAGGGGAAAAATGGCAGGAGGGAAAATAAAATTGACTACAGAGGCAGCAGAAGAAAGATGAGTTATGTTCTGGGGGGGAAAATGGAATGAAAAAAAAATGGGGAAATTAAGGCCTCAAGAAAGAATGCAAGGAACAAGGGAAATAAGCTAATCCTGCCTTTTTAACTGAAACCTGCTCACAGACACAGTTGCCAGATCTGCTGCCCAGCAGTGAATGCCTGCTGGGACCATTCACATTTGCCCTTGAACAGGCTTCTTTTTTTGTACTGATGTCTAGTAATGTTTTTATCATTGTGAGTGGCTCGTTCAATCTCCTACATCTAGACAAGAGGATATATTTTATGGACTTATACTACTGTCCGGAAATAATTTTCCCCATTAGGTTTCAGGTAGCTAAGCTTGGTCTCCTACACCAGTATTGAAATATTTTATCAGTGGAAACTGCATGCCTTTGCTTTGATTTATACCAAATCTCCTTTTAACCCTTTGCTAAATGGGGCATCATTTTTATGTGGTGTCTGTCTCATTTTCATTGACATCTTGTGAGCCTTTGCTGTTTAAACAGTATTGTCTTGGAATTGCAGCCAAATGGAATATTGTAGTGCAAGTGAGGGTACTTTGTCTTCATCAAGTRTTAAGAGTATCTTCCACATCATTATTCTTTTTCTTTAATGCTTCCTTTGTACTTTGACTGTCCTTGTTCAGAATTCAGATAAAGGGGGTGTTTTGGGGAAGCAGTGCAATGAAATCATGCTGTATTCACATTTCCTTTGTGCCTTGTGCAGCAGACTGGAGCATCACTGTTCCCGGATCCCACCTCAGAGCACTAATGAGCGTCATCAGAGCAGAGTTCCTGAGCATTCAGAGCGAGCAAAAAGAAAACATTTCTTGAGGCAGCTCTTGGCTGTGCCCATTATATTTATTGGATGATGAGAGCAGTTTCTGAAGCAGAAAGTCTGAGTTATTGCCAGGATGAGAGTGCTTGGGATGAGTCCATGCTCTGAGCCAGTGTGGCTGACCTCATGTTGCTTCCTGAGTTTGGCAAAGCACACGCAAACCTTGCTCACGGGGCAGCGTATCGTGTTTGTGTGCCTTCTGAACTCCTAGAGCTGTAAATCTAGAATGAAGAATACTGTGATAATAACAATGATGTTTTTACATTTTGGTTATAAGAAGTGTTAAAGGTTACTGACACTAAGAGATATTAAAGAAATGTTAAAGTGGGAAGGTCAGGACTGGGATTGACCCATCAGAATTTGCAATGCTCAGTGTAGAGCACATAGTGCTCTTTGTACCAGGTAAAAGCTTTGTACTGGTTTTGTTTGTGTGCTGTTGAGTGGAGAAAAAAGCAAAGGCACACTGGGGAGAGAGGGAGGCTGCTCTGTTCTAGTGGTAAAGACTGAAGTGGTTATTGAGAGAGGAATCAAAGGCCGAGGGATGCAGTGGTTTCTTTCTGTCATACAGTTGTACAGGGATGGCACCACTGTGCTTGTGTCACTGTCTCAAGCTCTGAGACATTGCTCCCGATGGAGTTTGGGGGTGAGAAGTGCCTTGAGAAGCTGTTCAGTTCAGGTGTGCCCTGTGCTCTCTTCCAGATCAATCTGACATGTCTTTTGAGGAGCTCCTGAGGATGCAGAGCGATGCAAGGACAAGAGTGACCAAGAAGGTGACTGGTGGGAAGAAAACTGCAAAGCCTACCAAAGCTTCAGCAAAGCAGCAGCAAGGCAAAAAGGGGTAAAGAAGCTCTTTTGTGACCAAAAAAACATGCACGTGTGCTCTCTGCACTCCAGAAATTACACTGGGAGCTCCTCACAGCGGTGGTGTTGCCTTGGAGCTGGAATAGATCTCCTTTAATGTATCAGACAATAATGCCTGTCACTATAATGTTTCATTTGGGAATGGTCTGGTGCTGTTTCCAGAGCTCTTAATATCCTGTCCACTTCAAATCCCCAGCAGCCACCTGTCACTTGATAGTTAAATTGGCACTCAATGCCTTTATAGCCTGGGCATGGTGTGCCTCTCAAGCTCTGTGATAGTGTCCACTGTGACCTGAAATAGTTGCCCTGCTGGTTCATAAACCCCTTCCAGCTTATCAGTCTCTTCTGCCTGGCTCTCACTGGCTGGAGTTACAGTCAGACAATTGATCTGGAATTTAATTTATCCTCCTATTGCTCATCTGTGTCTCATCTGTGGCTTGTCCGTGCTCATTTTCCTTTTTTCCCTCTCTACAGTACCTAGCATCACAGACTTTTTCCCATATTCAACACAACAAAAGCTGTCATACCTTTTTACAGTTCTCCACAGGCCCCCACTGGTAACAGCAATACCCTTACCTTTTATTTGCAGTATTTAGCTGGTTTTCAGTCCTCAGGGYGCCATCCAAGTGATTTGAATGGGTTTCCTGTTACACTGTCACTCCCTAACTTATTTCTGAATATCTGCTCAATACATGAGCAGAGAATACAGAATACGTTTCTCCTGCCATAAAGAGTTGATTAGGATAATGYTTCTGCTTTATTTTTTACCCAAGACTCTGAGGGATTTTGTGTAGTGCAACATCTCACAGCGTCTCTGTTTCTGCCACACAGTTTGCATAATTCTGCTTTTGTTTAATTCCTCTAATCCTTTAAGTGATGTATTGCTGTAAATCCCAAATGCTTTTTCTCTCATGTTTTTGTTATGGAAGTGAGCTTCTTAAAGAAAGGGTTTCAGGAAAATCCCCTGGCACTGAGCTGGCTTCAGCAGTGCTGTGTAAAGCTGACTCCAGAGCGTTGTAGCCACATCAGCAGATGTGAGAATACCCTGAAAGCTGCCCTAAGAGGGATTTGCAAAACTTGTGCCTGTGCAGTTGTTTTCCTGCCCCAGTGTCCCTTGTGGCTGGCTGGGGTGGTTCACAGGTTTCTCATGTTTCTGGTAACTTTGCCTGATGTACTGACAGATCATGGGATGCAGCACCCAAGCAATAAGGTGAGAGTAAATACCCTGTTCTTTCTCCCACCTTGTCCTGCCCCCCTTGTATGCCTGACACATCGAGCTGTGAAGGCCTGTGTTGCAAGAACTCATTCCCTTAGCTGGTTGTCACTGTGATCCTCATGGTCCTGATTCATCGTGGAGTCTCTTTTGGGATATGGCCATATGCTGTGCAGCCCATTTTCCTGGGGGCTGACTCTTTCCTTACTACATGAAAGTGGGGTTTCTCACCGAGCCTGGCCACAGTGGGATTGACCTTTGTAACTACCAGGCCAGTGCAGAAATTCCCAGCTTTGGCACCCGTGAATACTGAGGGAGCAGGCAGATGTTACTGCTCAGTTTCTTCCATATCCAGCCATCCTGTGCCTCCATGAGAGGATTTTCACTTGATAGAGTGGAGCTGCTCTAGGTTCTATGTGGGATTGTTTTAACCACACATTGATACATTTGGTAGTTGGAGCCTTCTGTGGCTCTTGACTGAGTCAATTCTTTGCTCTCTATACATGGTGAGAATTGAGTTGGGAGAGTCTGTTGGGCAATGCTGTTCCTCTGAGGGTCTGACTGACATCCCAGCATATGAGCTTGGGCCTCATTCTAATGTCTGCACCTCTTAAATACATTTTCCTTGTTTTCAGACCACTGGAGATGTCTGCCAAGAAGCCTGTGCCTTTCCTGCGACAAGTTGTCCCTGTTAGGAAGAAGGTGGGTGCTGCCCCTCCCTGGTTCATGACTTCTCTTAGTGCTGCTGACAGGGCTCACTAATGGGAATGGGGCTACTGCAGATGGCCCAGGCTACTTCTGGAGAGCAGGGCTGGGATGGTGTTTCCCTGGGGAGAACAATGGGTGGGTGCAGAAGCAGTTGCAGGTTAACTTCAGAGTTTGTGACCCAAGTGTTTCTAGAAGGTGACTTGCAGTGACTGCCACCAGTGACAATTTCACTGCAAACTGTGGTCATTGTTCAGTACTAATCCCAGAAGTTCAGATGTCCATCTACTTTCCAATCGGATTGTGACTTCTGTTTTACCATTGCTGGTTCATCTGAACATGGTAATTTCCACAGTTAGAGACCTCTTTTTGTCTCTCCCATTTTGCATGACCTGACCCAACTCATCTGTGAAAATCTAGATAGGTTTTTGTTGCCAAATCCATTGACAACACATCTTCAGCCAGTTCTTGGTCTGGGAGTTGCAGGAGTTTGGAGGCAGCACTCYTGCTGCTGTTCCTGGGGATTCCTGGGTGGCAGACTTGCATATGGAGCTGTCTGTTCCATGGCAGGCTGGRTTCAGGCATGACTTTGGAAGTGCTACCTTGATCGTCACACCCGGCCTTTGCCAACTTCAAATGTTTCAATGGTGGGAGCAAAATACTGCCAGGGGAAAAAATGGCAAGGTCTGATCCATGAAAGGAGAGTAAGCAGGCTGTTAACAGGGTTAACACTGGCTACAGCTCTTGYCTTCCCTGCTTTCAGGTCCAGAGAGATCCTCGATTTGATGACCTGTCTGGAGARTATAAGCCTGAAATATTTATGAAGACATACAGCTTCCTGGACGGCATCAAGAAGCAGGAGAAGGAGGTGATGCTCTGTGCCTGCAAGAACCTTGCCTGCAAGAACCTTGGCCTGGGCTACTTCTTCAGAGGCTTTTCACAGAGGAGGTGACAGGCAGGCACTCACGCAGCTTTCTGCTCTCTTCTTCAGATGGTTCAGAAGCAGCTGAAGAAATGCCGGAACTTGGAGCAGAARGAGAAACTTCAGCGGCTCCTGAACCGTATGGTGAGTTCAGTGCAGTGTCTCCTCTCTGTGAGGCACTGGAACAGAGGATGTGTGACCTGAAGCACTGACACAGGCCATCGTTTCTGTACAGACACAGCAGGAACAGGCACAGAAAAAACAGCAGAAGTTGAGAGAGAGGGAGCTRTCTTTGAAGAAACAACAGAGGGAATTGGCCAAACAGGGAAAGAAACCCTTCTTCCTAAAGAAATGTAAGTACTCCATGTGAGCTGCAGGAAGGTCTAGAGGGAGTACTGCTGACAGGAATTCAGGCACTGGAAACAAGGTGTCCATACCATTCCACGGAGCTGTGGAGGGATTGTTTTAGTGCTGATGCTCAAGGGACAAGCTAAGCTTGGACCAGGGAGGGAGAGATGAGGGGGGGCTGCTCTGTAGAGATGTTTTGGGCTTCAGTATAAAACTTGACTTCCCTCTCTCCTCTGCAGCTGAGAAGCGGAAATTGGAGCTAGCTGACAAGTATGCAGAGCTGAAGAGGAGTGGAAAGCTGGAGAGCTTCCTGAACAAGAAGAGGAAGAGGAATGCCATCAAAGACAAGCGCCACCTGCCCTCACACAAGAGTTTGTGACTGTTGGACATGCTGTTGTCTGGTACTGGGACTCATCCTGCCTTGGCCAGACCTGAGAGAGGCTATCCCTCTTCCCAGTGTCTGCCTTCCATTGTACAGTGATGCTGTAGGGCAGCAGAGCAGAGGCTGAACTGAAGGAAATAGTGGGGTTTTTGTAGCTGAAGTATCATCTTTGYTCGTGGTTTACATCAGGCGTGGGTGGTGACAAGTGTGTCGTGCAGATGCTGCTGGTGATGACAGCTGTCTTTGCCCTGGCACCTGCTCATTTCCAACTCTAGCAAGGGAAGTGTGAGCTCTGCCCTGCACTGCTGGCTCTGCTTCAGGTTTTTTTWGACTTCTACTGAGGCAGAAAAGGACATGGTGCAATGCCTGCTCAGAGCAGGGYTAGCCCTGACTTCAGATCAGATTGCTCAGGGCTGCTTTGGTGGGGTCTGGTAATGTCAGAGGACAAATATCCTCACCTCTTTTGGCCTCTGCTCTATGCCTCGGGTTCTTCAGATGGAACTTTTTCTTCCCTCCCCAGGGAACCTGCCTGGTGTTAGTCCATAATCACTGTCTTGTTCTCAGTGAAGTGCCTGGCTCTCTCTTCTCAGCAGCTTTGTCACAGGTCTGAGGGGTGGGAGGGAAAGGGGTGCCATAAGATCTCCCCAAAGSCTTTTCTTCCTATGGGTGAATATAAATCCKGTYCCCTCAGCCTTYCCTTGCAGTGCTCCAGCCCTGGACAACTTTCCCATACTCAACTGGAGACAGCCCACATAACCAATATGCATCTTTTGGTGTCCCAGCATGGATCAGTATCTGGATGTAGTCTCACAAGAGATGAGTTAAGGTGAGAGGATCACGGTGCTCCACATGGGCCACTCCTGGTGATGCAGATCTGGGTGTGACTGCCCTTCCTCATGCATGGGATGTGCTCAGGTATTGGTACTTGGGATCTCTCCTTCAGGGCAGCCTGGCTTCTCAGGGTCATCTCCACAGGGTTATTAGTGCTTCTAGGAAACTGATCCTGGAGGAAATAAAATACCTGCTTTTCTTTATTCCCACTGTCCATGCTGTAAAGTCAAAAGTGTTTGAACTCAGGGGAGTCAGTGCCTCTCTCCAGTACCATGTTTGAACACCAGCTCCTTGTTCTGGGTGCCCCTGTCTGCCATGGCTGTGCTGACAAGGGTGACCCCAGTGTGACAGCTCAGAGTGTGCTGGGAGAGTGCCTGGGCACAGCTGTGCTGTGGAGGTGGCCACAGGTGTTTGGGGCTTGGGGACAGGCCTTGCTGGGAGCAAAACATGGAACAAGGAGCAGGTCAGCTGGCCTGAGGGTGCTGCTGAAGCACCTGCCTCCACTGCACGTCCTGTGGGTCATGCAAGTTCTGCTCTGGTGACACGTCTTAGTGGAACTGGGTGTAGGCAGGAGACATGGGATGTGCCAGCTTGTCTGGAGATCTGCTGCCAGAGCCCTGCTGAGGGGCTACGTGGCACTGCTCAACATTCCTGTGTGTCCCCATCCCCTGCTGTTTRTAGGGCTGGTGCAGCCCCAAAGTGGTCCTGTTTTCCCCTCCTGCTCCTCTGGAGCTAAAGGTCTTCCTGCTAAGTCCTGTGTGCCTGCCTGCAAGGATATCCTTGCTGGGATGTCAGCAGCTTCAGTTCAGCAGGGTGGTGATGAGCAGTGAGCCTGTGCCCTGGGCACCTGCCAGCTCCTGGGCACAGCAGGGAAAGCCCTGGGGCATTGCCCAGCCCAGCCAGGGGTGAGGTGCCATTTGCAGGCGGCAGCACAGCAGCACCAGCTCAAAGGGAAGGAGATGCTTTCCAACATCTCCAGGCTCTTTGCAGCAGCCTCCCAGCCCCAAGCAGCTGGCTCATTTTCCTTGGTTCTGAGATGATTTGGACAAACCTGCAGTGTCTGTCCCTCCAGCTGGAGTGTGTGGTGTCCCTGAGCACGTTTGGTCCCAGTTGCTGTGACTGCACTGTTGCACAGGCAGTGGTGGCTGACACAGCTGCCACGCACACCCCACCAGTGCCACCCTTGGACTGTCACAGGATCTGGGGCCAGCAGGAGCAGCTCCAGGCCCAGTTGCCTGGGATGGTCTCCACAGGCCTGGGTGGTGTCTGAGCCCCTCCACTCGCTCTGCAGCTGGACACAGTCACTCAAGGGACAGGTCCCCACAGGAGCAGGGGGGATTTGTCTGCTGGCAGGGACACAGACATGAAAAGGCTGCAGGGCTCAGGTCTTTTATTGCAAAGAGGGAGATACAAAAAAAGGACAGTCACCCCTTTTTGGGTCCCCCCAGGCCTGCAGCTGGCTGAGAGGGGTGACAGAAGAGGGAGGTCCCCTCTTCTGCATGGGGACCTCGGCTCACGCAGTGGGGAGCAGGCTGCTGCCAAGGACCACACTGGAGCCAGGGCCAACCACARCAGCAAAGTGGGTGACCCGCTGTGTGCCCGTGTGGCACCCTGGCTGCCAAAGAGCAGTGCTGTACGGGGAGCACTGGCAGGGAGCCTGGCACAGGGTAGGGCTGCCTGGCCCCAGCCAGACACAATTCGTGGCAGGTGACCCTGGCCTCCTCTGCTCTGGGGTGCTGAGGTTCCAAACTGCTCTGCAGCCTTACAGAGGCTGCTTCGGGGGCCCTCGCCATGCGCCCCTCGGGGCCCTGAGCAGCTTTGCCTGGGGAAGGAGGGAGCAGGGTCGGTGCCCTCTGTCCAGGCAGGGAGCTCAGCRGCCTGCCCCAGGTTTGTAGGTACGGCCAGGCACGGGGATGCCCAGGCTGTAGCTCCTGCTGGCTTGTCACGTGTTGTCCTGGGCCAGCTCCTCGGGGCAGGCGGGTTGGTCCCGGGCCTTGCGCAGCCCCGTGGCCGGCTGGGCCGGGGCGCTTTGCTGCGGGTCCGGCCCCGGCGGGGTGTGGTGCTGGTGCCGCTGGTACTGCACGAACATGCAGACCTTCATCCCGATGGCCAGCATGTTCTTGCCCATGAAGATGCTGGAGACYCGGGCATCCCTGAAGAAGAGCATGTTGCTGCCTCGGATGAAGATGGTGGTGATGTTGACGGTGAGCATGCTCAGCATGGGGTACAGCATCATCCGGTGCGGCACGATGCCGATGCCCTGCATGCTGATCTCGCACAGGGACACGCACGGCAGCACCAGGAGCAAGATGTAGCAGTAGAAGAACATGATGCCCTCGGCCCAGAGCGGCAGCCCCTTCTTCTGAGGCTCCCACAGGTTGGCCTGGATGTCCAGCACATCCAGCATGTCCACGATGACCCAGAAAAGGCGGTTGCGGAGATCTTCCTTCTTCTTGAACGTTCTGACGTACTCCATGTGCTCTGTGGCCACCAACAACACGTAGAGAGCTGGGATGCAGATGGAGAGCAGCAAGGTCAGCGCTTTGCGGGCTATGAGATCCAAGCTTTTCCGGTCMGCTTTATAATTCTGGTACACAAAGTAGACTTTGATCTCCAGAACGAAGACATACAGGAACCAAAGGATCATGGCATATCCTCGCTTAGCTGTCTTTACCTCTGCCCCAACCCAGATAGCCACATAGCGGAGGACCAGCAGGAAGCATATGTCACCCACTGCCACCATGACACAGATGCCCAGCTTCCTGGAGCCCTGGCTCTGCTCCACCAGGTAGGCATCCATGAGGACGAGGCTGGTCATGATGAGCACAGTGGAGAGGCACACGTGGGGCTTGCTGACAGGTGGTGGGGGAACCATCCTGCACAGAGGAACAGGCAGGGTCATCAGGGAGTTGCTGAGATTTCCTATCCCCGCCCTTGGGCCCCCTTCTGCCRCCCCCTCCTCAGCAGCTGTGGATGTGAAAGGAGGGAGGGAGCCATTCATAGATTTCTCCCATCCTACATGCCTGGCTTGTTCCAAACCCACAGATTCCTAGCCAAAGAGCTCTTGAGACTGACCAAACCATCCTGGCTGGAACCCAGCTCCTAGGAAGCACATGGTGGGACAGGCTGGACACTTGGGACACCTCAAGCAGTTGGGATCCTACTGTCTCTTCTAGTCAGTAGCTCATCACACTGACTAGCCTCTACCACCATGAAGCGTATGTGCCTTATTTTCCATGGGATTTTCCAGACAGTGGTATTTCTTATATTTCCCCCTCCTCCACAAGGCACATAAAATCAGATTTAAGTGTTTAACCCAAGCAGGCCCTTAATTGCTATGATCCAGGACTGCTCTTTTCGGTTTCTTTATTTTCATGTAAAACACAAGACCAAGCCTGGCTTTTTTAGCGTGGGGAAAAACTGGCCCAATATTCAGTTTCCTTCAGGTTCACACCCCCCAAGAGGTTTGCCTAGAGCTATTTGCCCATGCCCACCCTGCCCCAATACCATAAACTGAAAGCAAGGAAAAGCAGCACAAGCCCAGAGCYCAAGGAGCTCTGCGACAGGCCCTGAATTTCTGTGGGGTGCTCAGCTTTCCCAGGCTGGAGCAGACCACAGCACCGTCCCCAAAAGCGCCCAGCACTGTCAGACTCCCTCCCCCTGACCACGCACAGCTGCAGGCAGCTGCCTTCAGAAGCAAAGAGGGAGGACAGAGCCGGGGCCTCGCCAGGCACAAGTTGGCAGCTGCTCTGGAGGGGAGCCAGCCCCCCGGATGAAATGGAGGATGAAACTGGGCTGATGCCTGTGTGGCACAGTGCTGCACGAAAGCTGCCCACGCAGAGCCCGCCTCCAGCACGCCCGGGCCGTGCGGGGGCCCTGGGACACCWTCCTGGTCACCCAGGGGGCAGCGCGTAGGTGGCACTTGACCACAGAGCAGGATGGAGGCCGCACGGTTCACGGTCACCCCTGCACATGGATGCTCCTGGTGCTGAAACTGATGGCCCCTGGGCACAAGCTACCTGAACTCCTGCTTTTTGGCTGAGGGAGCAGGCGTCCGGCGCAGTCGTGCATCCCTGGGCCCAGCAGCATCCTGGCACGTTGCGGGAGGCAGCGGAGCCTGAACCTGTCAGACACAGGTGCCTCTCAGGGGGAGGGACCAGAGGCCGTGGGCATGGGGGAGCCCGTGGATGTGGCACATCTGGAGAGCGCCACACGGCCGGGGGCTCACCCGCCTGGCACCGCACGGCCTCGCCAAACCTCCGCGGGGGCTGRGGGTACCCCGGCTGGGGGTACCCGCCGGACAGACCCCATCCCATCGGGGCACCCCCGCCTGTCCCGAGCCCCCTGCCCACAGCGGCCGGGCCTTGCCGGGGGCGGGCGCTGCCCGCGGACAGTGCCCGCTCTCCTGTCCCCCCCGGCTCCCGCTTACCTCGGGCGGCTCCCCGGGGCGCAGGGCGG